ACCTGAGCTGAAACCAAGAATCGGCCGCTCAACCGACTGAGCCACCCAGGTGCCCCATGTTGAGCACCTTTTTATATACCTGTTAGCCATGTGAACATCTTCTTTGGAAAAATGTCTATTCAGATCCTCTGCCCACTTTTTAAATTGTCTGTCTATCTATCTATCTATCTATCTATCTATCTATCTATCTATCTATCTATCTATCAATCATCTATCTCTATTTACTATCGAGTTGTAGGCATTCCTTATATATTTTGGTTATTAGCCCCTTATCAGATATGTGGTTTGCAAATATTTTCTTACTTTCTGGAGGTTGCCTTTTCATCTTGCAGATTTCTTGTTGTTGTTTTGTTTTGGGTGGGGGGGTTGCTGTGCAGAAGCTTTGTAGTTTGATGTGCTTTTGTTGCTTGTGCTTTCAGTATCATATCCATAAAATCATTGCCAAGATCAATGTCAAGGAGCTTTTTCCCTATGTTTTCTTCTAGGAGTTTTATGGTTTCAGGTCTTACATTTAAGTCCTTAATCTATTTGGAGTTAATTTTCATGAGTGATAGAAGACAGGGATCGAGTTTCATTCTTTTGCATGTGAATAATAACTATTCTATAGGGCGCCTGGGTGGCTCAGTTGGTTAAGTGACTGCCTTCGGCTCAGATCATGATCCAGGAGGCTCAGATCATGATCCAGGAATGTAGGCATGGGGGCGGGGGGGGGGGGGGGATCCCCTGCTCAGGAGGGAGTCTGCTTCTCCCTCTGACCCTCCCCTATTTCATGCTCTCATTCTCTCAAATAAATAAATAAAATCTTAAAAAAAAAACCTATTCTATAACTCAATAATTCTATTTCTGGGTATTTATCTGAAGGAAATGAAGTCATGGTCTCAAAGAGATATCTCCACCTTCATGTTCAATGCAGCACTATTTACAATAGCCAAGACATGGAAACAACCGAAATATCCATCAATGGATAAAGAAAATGTGTTGTGGTGTGTGGGTATGGGTATATACAGTAGAGTATCATTTAGTCAAAAAAAGGAAATTGTGCCATTTGTAATGATGGATCCTGAGGCCATTATGCTAAGTGAAATAAGACAGAGAAATAGTGTATGATCTCACTTTGGGTGGGTTTTTTTTTTTTTTTTAAATAGGTGAAATCTTAAGAAAACAAACTCAGAAACAGCAGATTGATGGTTGCTAGGTATGGAGGTGGGGGTAGGGGGTGAAGGTGGTCAAAAGCTACAAACTTCTAGTTATAAGATAAGTAAGTTGTGGGGATGTAATGTACGGTATGGTGACTATAGTTGACAATATTGTATGTCTGAAAATTGCTAAGAGTAGATTTTAAAAGTTCTCACCACACACATGAAAAATTTTAGCTATATAAAATGGTTAACTAACCTTATTGTGGTAATCATTTTGTAATATATACACATATAAAAGCACTATGTTGTATACCTTATATACTTACACAATGTTATATGTTGGTTTTATCTCCATGAACCTGGAAAAATAAACAACATCCTACTTTTTCTAATTCTTCCATATAACATGCTCAACCACCTCTTTTCTCCTTTTCTTTAGTCTATTTCAATAACCAAATGGCAGTGGGAATTGCTTTTCCTTTACCACAGAAATCTATCTATATATCTATAAATATATTTATTATAAATAATATTATCCTATCTTTGCTTTGCCAAATAAATTTCCATTATGGAGCTTTTATTTTTTTATTTTTTTTATTTTTTTAAAAGATTTTATTTATTTATTTGAGAGAGAATGAGAGAGAGAGCACATGAGAGGGGGGAGGGTCAGAGGGAGGAGCAGACTCCCTGCAGAGCAGGGAGCCCGATGCGGGACTCGATCCTGGGACTCCAGGATCATGACCTGAGCCGAAGGCAGTCGATTAACCAACTGAGCCACCCAGGCGCCCCATTATGGAGCTTTTAAAAAATAATAATTCGGAGCACCTGGGTGGCTCACTCGTTAAGCGTCTGCCTTCCGCTCAGGTCATGATCCCAGGGTCCTGGGATCGAGCCCCGCATCGGGCTCCCTGCTAGCGGGAAGCCCACTTCTCCCTCTCCCACTCCCCCTGCTTGTGTTCCCTCTCTCGCTGTGTCTCTGTCAAATAAATAAAATCTTAAAAAAAAAAAAAATAATAATAATAATTCATGATCTTTTCTGCATATGTATTATATTCCACGACAAAAATAGTTTAAAAATTTAATTTAAAAAATGCATTTAGTGATTGGTACACCAACATCTTTGAGGAACTCTGTGGTGGCTGTCATGTGTAAGTCATAGAATAATGTGACCCCAACATGATAAAGGCCAAAAAGACATGCCTAACCAGTGCCTAACTGCTTGAGATGGTAGGCACATTTACCACAACAAACCACAGGATGGTAACTGGAGTTTTGACCTACAAGGATTTGGGACAAGTTAATGGACCATTAGGGTCTTTAGAAATGATATAGATGCTGGGCAGCCTACTAAGGTTCTGCTTAATGTGCATGGGAGGACAAATTCGAGGAGCACTGAGAAAACTGAGTCACAGTGATGGGGATTCACAGCTTCTCACCCAGTTCCCAGACCTAATTCAGGTCACACATGGAACCTCTTTTTCAAGGGGATCCCAGGGTCCTTTGAGGAGTGACTGACATAGCTCAGGTGTGTAGAATAAATCTTTCCCAAGCCTTTCCAGAGGGACCCATTTTCCGAGTGACAGCGCACTAGGGAAAGGGAAATACCCAGAGCTTCGGGAGTTATCCGATACTAAGCTCTGACATCTGAATACCAAAGTTGTCCACCAATTAGAGGCTTATTATGGCAAATGACAGATGGGGCTCTGATCCAAGTCCATTTAATGGTGGATTCAAGGAGATCACAGACCCATTTTAGGTACAAGCATACTTAGGGTGCCTGGGTGGCTCAGTAGGTTAAGCATCTGACCCTTGATCTCAGCTCAGATCTCGATCTCCTGGTCATGAGTTCAAGCCCCACACTGGGCTCCATGCCGGGTGTGGAGCTACCTTAAAAAAAAAAAATGGGCACAGACATACTTCTGAAATATTGCAGGTTGGGTTCCAGACCACAGCAATAAAGTGAGTAGCACAATAAAGCAAGCCTGAAGAATTTTTTGGTTTCTTAGTGAATATGTTATGCTTACACTATACTATAGTTGATTAAGTGTGCAATAGTATTATGTATAAAAATGTTATATACCTTAACTACAAATACTTTATTGCTAAAAAATGCTAACCATCTTCCCAGGTTTCAGCAAGCTATAATAATTGATCACTGATTACTATACCAAATAAATGAAAAAGTTTGAAATACCGTGAGAATTGCCAAAATGTGACACAGAGACACAAAGTGAGCAAACACTGTTGGAAAAATGGCATGGACAGACTTGCTTGCCACAGGGTTGCCACAAATCTTCAATTTGTAAAAAACACCACCACCAAAAAACCCCTATCTGCAAAGTGCAAAAATATTAGTCATGCCTGTAATTTCCTCAGTCCCAAAAGGAAAGAGAGACATTTACTACCAAGCAAAATCCCCAGAGTGGTAACCTAACCCATGGAATGAGGGTGATTATGAAGTATGGGCCAAACAGAAGTCCCTGGAACTACCTCCAAGATAGTAAGTCGAAAGTCAAACATCAAACAAAAAACCCACACTCTGGCAGGATCTGTAGATTGGTGCTGCCATCAAACTTGAGTTATACAGGGGTGGATGATTTCTTCCTCATCCATTTACTCACCATCTTGAGTCTTAGAAATTGATAGTAGTTTGGGCGCCTGGGTGGCTCAGTTGGTTAAGCGACTGCCTTCGGCTCGGGTCATGATCCCAGAGTCCTGGGATCGAGTCCCACGTCGGGCTCCCTGCTCAACAGGGAGTCTGCTTCTCCCTCTGACCCTACCCCCTCTTGGGCTCTCTCTCTCTCAAATAAATAAAATCTTTAAAAAAAAATAAGAAATTCATAGTAGTTTATTACAAATGCAATCAAATGGTACTGCTAAACTGTGGTTCCAGATGTGGTATCTTTGTGGGATCAAAGCAACACAGTTCTTGGCCAACATGGAAAAAAAAAAAAAGGATACACCAGTTGGTGGGACTCTTGATTCCGGAGCCAACAGGTACAGTTTTTAGGAGTTCTGCTTCAACCAATTACAGTGACCTGTAAGGCAGCTGAGTGGGATCCAGACAGGAAATGGTTCTCAGCAGCCCAGGCTATGTGCGCACTGTCCTGCCACCAGGCCTTAGGACTCAGCCAACCAAAAGCTATTAGAGCGTCTGTGGTAGGCAAAGATGTATGGAGTCTCTGAAAACTCCAAATAAGAGAATTATAGCCCCAAGTTCTAGGGTTTTAGACCAATACCCACCTCCACCAAAAAGTATTCTCCACCTGAAAAGCAACCCCTGGCTTGCTCTTGGGCATTGGCACAAACTGAATTCCAGGACACCAAGTGACTTTCGACTCTAAGCTATCCGTTGTGAGATCTGTATTATTTGATCCACTGAATTGAACTATAAAACTGGATGTTCAGTGGCATTACCTAGCATGATGGAAGTAGGCTGAAGGGGTCCAGATGGTCCAAGGAAAGGGTATGAGGAGGTGCCTCAGATGCCTGTGGCACTGGCTCCTACCATTCTGTCGATTTCCTGCCAACCCACACCTACAGCATCCGCAGAACCTGGAAATGTAGAGGAAAAGCCCCATCCTGGTGCCTGCTGGGTGTACATGCTATGGGGCCCCTGCCCTGCTGATCCACTCAGATGCCCCAAAAGACAGCGGTGAATAACCACCATTTCAGAGGGCACCTCTGGTAGTTCTGGGTTGGGAGGCCTCATGTAGAAGGGGTGGGTGTCTGGGAGTCATTCTCTTCCTCCTTCATACATTCCACCTGATGTTCTTAGTCATTACTCAGTGACAGCCCCCCAGTGACAGATATGCCTTCTTTCCACGATCAGACCCATTTCAGAATAGACAAGTGACTGTATAGTTTTTTTGTTCTTTTTAATTCAGAAAGAGAGAGAAAGGGAAGAAAATAAAAAACATTTGTTTAAATAACTATTGCAGAAAAGGAGATCTGGGCTGGATGCTGGGACCTACCTCTTCCAGAAAGGGGATTTATTAATGTTTTAAACAAAACAAAACAAAAAGAAGAAAAAGGAACAAAAGAAAATAAATTATTCTGCTCAATACTGTTTGGCATAATTGCATTGTTTTTTCATCTTCTAAACACTCCGAACAGCCTCTTCAGGAAGCACTGAGATGAGACTGGCAAGAATGGCTGGTGCCTTGACTTTCTAAAATGGTGGGGGAGACCTGAGAGAGGCATTCCACTATATGCCCCCCCAAATCCACCCCCACTCTTTACTCCTACTTTTGGAATTGGGAAGGAACAGACTCAAGCTAAGTTCTCAATATATTAACTTTTGGCGTGCCCATGCCCTGCCCCAATCCTCCTCTAATATACTCCCCTGCGTTACTGTTCCCCCAGCCAGCTGCAGGAACTACACCAATGGCCAGGAGGCTGCTTGGTGGTATCAACTCACTAAGATAAAGGGTGGTATTTGTGTACCTCACTGTTGGGAAGGGGGATCCTATTAGTGGTTTGGAAGCTTCACAGAAGCCCTTCCCCCCCTCCGAAACTTCCTCAACCTCAAAGGGTGAGAATACCATCAGCAGCTTCCTCTAGAGACGTAAGCTGGGTTCAGTCATGCAAGTAACTTCCAGTTGTAACCCCTGTTTGTTAGCATCCCTGCCCTTCTAGAGCTGGAAATGGAAAATGGGTTAGAGCGAGGAGGTAGGAAGTGAGCATGGGGGAGGGGATGCATGGGCAGGAGAGGAGGCATGCAGGTGGGCAAGTCTACTCCTCCCCAGCTAGGATCCCAGCTATTTGCATGGCCAGCTTAGAATTTTAAAAGAATCTTTGTTGGTCAGCCATCCCTGGTAACCTCAAGTTAATTAAATTAGGAGACCAAAGCAAATTTCACCCCCAAGCAAGAGGTTTCCTACTCCTCTTTGGGGTGATGGGTGAAGGAAAAAGGTGCATGCACCAGGCAGCTAGGCTCCCCATCTCCAGGCTTCTTTCCCACGTGTTGCTTTCTCTCCCTAGAGCCGGCCAAAGACGCGTGAGTGGGGGTAGGGGTGGAGAAGCAGCACTGCCCCCCACCCCCCGCCCCATCCCAGGGCAAGTTTTGATTTTTTTTTTTCTCCCAGGACACATAGGCTGGTGAGGAGGCCCAGGGCCAAGGGGGAAACACTAAAAAAAGTTGTGCGTGAACAGTAAGGGGCCGAGAGTACACGAGAGTGAGAAGCACCTTACATCTCAAGTGACGGAGCTTCCTTGTCCCCTGCCTTGTTCCTTACACCTGTTCCAGAGTTAGGCCCCGGGCGAATTCCGCCCCCTAGCAAGGGGCTGGATACAGTTCTAGTTTTCTGGTGAGATGCTCAATGCCCTGGTCAGAAAGGCCATTCCATAGGGTGGCCAAAGGTGGGGATGGGGAGAAGAGAGGATAAGGGGACCCACACGTCACTGCATTTCTTTGGTGGGTTTACACTCACCCATCTGGGCCTGACACGTAAAGGAAATACGGGGTCCAAAATTCTCTTGAGGCCTGAAGAGGTCTGAGAGGGCTCTAGCTTTTACCCTGGGATGAAAGCGCGCTCCCTGGAAACCACCTGATCTCCCCTAGACCACCACAAACGAAGGCCAACGCCCCTCCGCCCACCCCGAGGTCACGAGGGACCCCCCCCCCCCCCCGCCCCGGCAAAGGAAAGCCCAGCCGCGCTGCCCCGCACCTTCCCCACCGTTTCCTCCTCGGTGCCCCCGGCCGAGTAAGGCCGACAGGCGACTGACACTCCTCCTGCAGAGCCTGAGGAAAGTACTTCACTGAGGCCGGAACCAACAACACTACTCCTTAAAAAGCATGAAATAAAATCCTACCCAAAGCAGAGGGGAGTGGGGATTCAGCGGCCGCCGGCCCGCCTCCGAAGGCCATTGATTGGAGGAGATGGGGCCCGGCGCCGGAAGTTCTCCTTGAGTCGCATGATTGGTTGGGAGAAAGAGTCTCCGCTCCGACTGCAGCGCTGATTGGGTACCAGGCCCGGGCCAGCCCCCAGAGTCTCTTGATTGGCGGGGGACAGCCGGCGCTCGCTGGAGTTGCAGCATGATTGGTCCAGACCGCGGCCTGGCGTCGCTCCCAAGGCCTGGAGACGCCCAACGGGGCGCCGCGCCCTCGCCGAGGCCGCCGCCCTCGGGCTGGCCCGGAGTCCCGGCTGGGAGCGCGCGCCGCCGCCTCGCGGCTGGGCCGGAAGGGTCGCGGCGAGGCTGGGCTCAGTTGCCTCGGTAGACCTCGATCTTGCTGGCCTTGGCCAGCATGTCGATGATGTGGGCCTCGAAGTCGGCGTCGTGCACTCCCGTCTTCCGGAACTCGCCCGCGTACCGGTTATTCTCCCAGTAGTGGTGCCAGTTGCCCCGGCTGTCGGCCCCGAACCCGTACACGTTCACCTGCAGGGGAGGGCGGCGCACGTCACCCCGCGTCGGGGACCGGGAGAGCCTCGGGTGGGCGGTGGGCTAGGACAACGGGGCCGCGGCGACCCGACGGCAGCCGGATCGCAGAGCTCGGGAGGCACCGGGAAGACGGGACACCCAGGCCCGGAGCTGAGGACACTCCCCGGGGAAGACCGCCACTCCCGGTTCTTCCGCCCGTCTCCCCTGCAGCAGGACGCCTCAGTCTAGGGCCAGGACAGCTCTCCACCCTTGCTAACGTCCCTTTTGGTTTTGGCTTTGTGGCTGCTGTTGTCGTTTTGTAATGGAATACTTGCAGTATTCCAGGTCCACACACTGAACTTACTGGCAGAAGGAGGTGTGCTGGGCGTGAGCCCTGCCCCGCACCGCACAGCCGCCCCGCTCGCTACTGAGAAGCGGCCCCGAGAGAAACACACACACACACACACACACGCACACACACACACACACGGCAGGCTTGTGGGAGAAGACCATCCGCTGGAACTTAACTACATTGTTTCCTTTCTGTTTATATTTTTGATTACTTTTTTTTCCCTTTATGGCGAGTAATAACCAACTGTGGTGTTAGGAGTCTATTTCCTTTTTAAATAAATTTAACTTTTCACTGAAGTGATTTCAGATTTGGTAAAATCATGAACGTTAAGTGACTTTGGGAAATGAAGATGTATACTTTACAGCCTAGAAATGGGGGAAATCAGAGCCACTTGGCTTCTGCCTACAAAAACGCATTCCTCTTGCTCTGCTAAGCCCTAAGAAGGGCTGACTCCCTCTGCTCCATGGGTATCCCTATTTTACCCCTAACACTGGGCTACCCACCTCATCACACACATGCAGGGCAAAGAAGAGCACCAACATCCCTGTGGAAGGGTACCGCCCGTGATGCTCTGTCCACCGGTCGTGGATGTACTTGAAGAAGGCTGGGTTATAGATCTGAACCTGGGAGGAGAAAAGGGAACAGACACATGAGGGGCTTTGGGGGCCTGGAGACTCAGGTCAGTCTCTGAGAAGCTTCTGCCAGTTCCTCCATGCTTGCCAGCAGACCTGTTCATCCATGTTCCCTGGTTCGTATGACCTCTGAGGGGATCAGGCATACCAGCAGATGGGGGAGGGGATACTCTGAAGGTTCTGGAAGGTCACTGGGGGACACCTGAGCCACTGGACGGGGGACACCTGATCCACTGGACCAGGCACACCATGAGTCAAGTCTGCACTGTTTCCAATGACATGGGGATGAAGAAGGGGGAGGAGGAGGGAGCTTACCTTTTCTTTGTCCACTCGAAGGAAGGACTTCACTGGCGCATAGGTGCTTCAAGTAGAAGGAAAAAAAACCAAACATTTAGATGGCCCCTGGGATCTAGAAAGGCCCAGAGATGCCTTTCTTCCCTCACAGGCCTAAGTGATGACAACCTTACAACAGATCCCCTGCCTCCGAACTGCTTCCGTAGCACATCACTGCAGTACCTTGCTCAGAAACCTTCAGAGGCTACCTATGTCCTTCAGGAGAAAATGAGGATGTGTTTTAGACAAACACTGGGGCCTTCCATTATCTAACCCCAACTTTTCTTTCCACAACACTCAGCTGTGAACTCCCCACTTGATTTAGCCAATCATTTCACACCCACTATGTCTGTGTCTTCTGCCCACGATGACCCTCTCGATACTATCCTCACATTTGGCACAAATCCCTCCTTCCCTATTAGCCAGCCATGGCACCTATAATCTACACTCTTTTTCTAAGTATTATGGGACTTAAATTCAACAGCACTTATTTTAGCCCTTATGGCTCCCAAACATAAGATAATGCCTTAAGAAACTGTAACCTATATTTCTGTGTTTAAAAAAAGATGTGGTGGGGCGCCTGGGTGGCTCAGTCGGTTAAGCGGCTGCCTTCGGCTCAGGTCATGATCCCAGGGTCCTGGGATCGAGCCCCACGTCCGGTTCCCTGCTCAGTGGAGAGCCTGCTTCTCTCTCTCTCTCTGCCTGCCTCTCTGCTTACTTGTGCTTTCTCTCTCTGTGTCAAATAAGTAAATAAAATCTTTAAAAATAAATAAATAAATAAATAAATAAATAAAAAGATGTGGTGTGGCACCTGGGTGGCTCAGTTGGTTGAGCGTCTGACCCTGACTCCGGTCATGATCTCAGAGTCCTGGGATCCAGCCCCATATCAGGCTCTGTGTTCAGCAGGGAGTCTGCTTGTGCCCGCCCCTCCCCCCCCATTCCGCCACTGCTCATGCTCTGTCTCTCTCAAACAAATCTTTTTTTTTTTAAGATTTTATTTATTTTTTAACAGCGAGAGAGACAGAGAGAGAGGGAACACAAGCAGGGAGAGTGGGAGAGGGAGAAGCAGGCTTCCCACCGAGCAGGGAGCCTGATGCGGGACTTGATCCCAGGACCCTGGGATCACGACCCAAGCTGAAGGCACACACACAACGACTGAGCCACCCAGGTGCCCCACAAATAAAATCTTTAAAAAAAAATGTGAAAAAAAATGTGATGGTGGGGGCGTCTGGGTGGTGCAGTTGGTTAAGTGTCTGACTCTCAGTTTCAGCTCAGGTTGTGATCTCAGGATCGTGAGACTGAGCCCTGTGTCAGGTTCTCATTCAGCTCAGAGTCTGCTTGAGTTTCTCTCTTCCTCTCCCTCTGCCCCTCCCACTTGTGCTCTCTCTTGCTAATAAATAAATCTTTCTTAAAAAGATTAAAAAAATGTGGTGACAGCAGGCAAAAGGTGAAACAGCCTAACTGTCCACTGATGGGTGAATGGATAAATAAAATATGATATATCCATATAATGGAATATTATCCAGCTTTTAAAAGGAATGAAATCCTGTACATGCTACAACATGGATAAACCCTGAAAACATTATGCTAAGTGAAATAAGCCAGACACAAAAGGACAAACACTATGATTCCACTTACATGAAGTACTTACAACAGTCAGACCATAGAGACAGAAAGACTAGTGGTTATCAGCGGCCTAGGGAGTGGGGGAGATAGGGAATTATTATTTAATGGGTACAATTTCCATCTGAAATTGTGAAGAAGTTCTGAAGATGGATAGGGTGATGTTTGCACAACAAAGTAAATGTACTTAATGCTACAAAACTGTGTGGTTAAATACATTTTATGTTATATACAGTTTTTTGGCTTATTTATATTTTGGTGGAGGATGTGGGCAGTGGCCTGAGAAAGTTAATTTTTACTTATTTTTGCTTTTTTAAGTAACCTCTACATCCAACATGGAGCTTGAACTCATGACCCCGAGATCAAGAGTCACATGCTCCACTGACTGAGCCAGCCAAGTGCCCCATATGTTATATACATTTTCACACACACACACACACACACACACACACACACACACACACAGTGAGACAGTGGGCTAGTGGTTGTTGCCTAGGGCTGGAGGGTGGGGATGGAGGGAGTGAGGCTGATGGCTAAGGGATACAGAGGTATCTTTTTTTTTTTATTCATTTGAGACACAGAGATAGAGAGAGCATGAGCAGGGGGAGAGGAAGGGGGAGAGGAAGAGGGAGAAGGAGAAGCAGGCTCCCTGCTGAGCCAGGAGCCCGATGCAGGGCTCAATCCCAGGACCCTGGGATCATGATTTGAGCCGAAGCAGATGCTTAACCATCTGAGCCACCCAGGCGCCCCCAGAGGTATCTTTAGATCTTTAATCTTCATCTTTAAGAAGATGAAAGAGTTCTAAAATAAATTCTGATGGTGACACAGCACTGTATTCAATAAAAGCCACTGCCTTGTATACTTCATTTATTTATTTTTTTTAAAGATTTTATTTATTTATTTGACAGAGACAGAGATAGCAAGAGCAGGAACACAAGCAGGGGGAGTGGAAGAGGGAGAAACAGGCTTCCTGCCAGGCAGGGAGCCCGATGTGGGACTCGATCCCAGGACCCCGGGACCATGACCCGAGCCGAAGAGAGACGCTTAACGACTGAGCCACCCAGGCACCCTGACTTGTATACTTTAAATGTGTGAATTGTATAGCATGTGAATTATATCTCAATAAAGCTGTTAAAAAAAATACTTGGTGATGAGGGGTACCTGGGTGGCTCAGATGGTTAAGCGTCTGCCTTCGGCTCAGGTCATGATCCCAGGGTCCTGGGATCGAGGTCCGCATCGGGCTCCCTGCTAGGCAGGGAGCCTGCTTCTCTCTCTGCCTCTGCCTCTCTCTCTCTCTGACTCTCATGAATAAATAAATAAAACATTAAAAAAAAAAAACACTTGGTGATGAAACTAATATGTGAGCCAACTATACTTCAATTAAAAAAAAAAGAAAGAAAGAAAAATACTTGGCAATTGAATTTCCCGAGGTTCCTAGCAACTGCCTCTAAAGAAAACTCTCAGAAGGCAGAGGTCCCACAGTCAGGAGCCACCTCCTGGAAAGGAGACCAAAACCTTTCCTCCCCTCTCTACCACCAGTATGCTGGCTGTCACGATGCAGGAAGTGACACTGAACAGGCTGTGGCCTTAGCTAATCCACCATTTTGGGCCCTCCCTACGATGGCCTCCCTCTTCAGCAGCCCCTCTTAGTCAAAATATTCAGTTAAAAGAATTCTAAGAGCCAATCCCTGCGAAGAGTCCTCTCGAAATGCTCCTGTCGCCCATATTCCCCTCGCAGTCAGCAGAGTGACTTACAATCGGATCTGCCCTGTGGACAAAGCGCTGGCAATCCATAGTAGGTCCAGGGCTTTGAAGGGCACCAACACGAAGCTGACGTTGGCGGGCAGGTTCTTGGCACTCTCTGGGTACATGAAATGGTGGGTGGTTCGGCTGCCAACATCCTGCTCAAAGCCCACGGTTGGCGCCTGATTCATCCTGCAGGGACAAGAGGGGGACATGAGAAGAAGCCACCATGGAAACCGGTGCAAGATTTTTAGAGGACAGTTTGGTCCCAGCCATCAAAAATGTAAACGGGCATACACTTTGACCTAGCAATCCCATTTCTAGATATCCTACAGAAATGGTTGCCTGAGTCTGCAAAGACGTGTCTACAAAGATATTCACTGCATTGTTTTTTTACGGTCGTGAAAAGGAGAATCAATTTAACAACAAAGAAGTGGTCAGTACATTTTGGCACACTCACATATGGAATACCACAGAGCCACGAGAATGAAGGAAGCAGATTTACATGGGCCGGTAAGAAATAAGCCCAGGGAAAAAATCCAGGTGGTGTGAGGTATCTGTCCCACTGCTTTCCTTTTAATGTACATCTTTTGAATACTGCTATGTGCTGCAGGAGGGAATTAACAAGACCCAAAAGGAAAACTTAAAACTAGATAGCGTGAATCCATTTTTTGTAAAAACAGACAGAAAAAGGAGGCAGAGAGAGAAAGGAAGAAGGAAGAAAGGAAAACATACTTTTGTATATAGTATTAAAATTGGTAACAAAGTTTACTCTTGGGAAATGAGATGGGGAAGGACACTTCATCTTTCAGTGTATACATTTCTGGGGTTTTTCCCCCCCAATAACCAGCACATATTACTCCTAGGCTTTTTTTTTTTTTTTTTTTAAAGAAAAGAACAGACTTCTACAGCTATCAACCTTACCTGGCTGTTCTGTCCTCTTTCCTAAAAGACACTGGAAGCATGGTAAAAAGCTGAAGCATTCCCTAAGCTCCTGGGCCAGACGGCAGCCTCTACGCCACCAGCCCCAGCCCCTCTGTCCCTGTACTTCAGCTTCTTATCTACCTTTCCATTCCAAGGCCAAGAGGGATGCTCCAAGTTCTGACAGCACCCACCTCGGCTGTCCCCTGGTGATGTGCAGTGTGGCTCTGTTTCTCCCGTGCTGCCATGGAAGAACTCAGAAACCCAGAGCGGGCTTGCTACCCTCCTGGGCATAACAAGCCGAGAAGGCTTCTACTTCCTTTCAACCGGTGCAAAACGTAGGATCAATAAAATCAAGGCTCCCTCTTTTGGTGAACATCTTCAAAGCAGGTGATCCAGCTTTGAACACAAACGTGTCGGTCTCTTCTGCTGTGACTGTTTATGAGAACATTCCTGTCTTGCGTGGACCACCTTGCAGAATCATGACTACCCAGGGAGGTGACCATAACCTTGCCTTCCAATGGGGACAAAGGGACCTGGGAGAGAGGGAGCAAAGTCTCCATGTGTTTTCTCTGCTTTTTATGCCTATTCTGTGAAACCAGTATGAACATTACGTGTCCTTACAGTGGCTGGCACCACTAGCTGGGCTTGGTGAAGACCTCCTGGGGCTCCCATTGATGGCACGACACAGTGAGAGCATGTCCAGGATGCCCCATCACTGCTGGTCATATTGCTGACCTCCTATCTCTCTGCTTCCCTTCCCTTCAGGGACTGGAGGCTGTTTGGGGCTGGGAAGCCATAAAGCCTGAAAGTGGCCTGAATTGAACTAGAGGGTGAATCTTTGTTCTTGGCCACTTCCGTTCTAGTCTGGTTCAAGCAGAAGCCTAGAATCTTCCCTATAGGACCAACTGTCCTCTGGCCTCCATTTCTTTAGGTTACCTGCCCCTTTACCTCCTGTCTGGGTGCCCCTCTGTTCTCCTGGTCTTTAGAGTTCAGAGATATTGTCTCTTAGAAGAGCCTAGAAGTATCTTTTCCCATGTATTAATAACCGTTGGCTGGGGCTCTTATAGCTGTGCACACAGCACTAGTGTGTCCTGAGGTCACCATAGCTTCAGTCTGGATCTGTCTTCTGCCACATCAGCCCTGGGGTGTTTGAGGAACAGAGCAGTTTGGAGAGAAAGCCTTAACAGGGACAGTGTTTCTCAGCTGCCTGGGGTACGTAAGGGGCTAGCAGGAGGCGGAAGACTTGGGTGGGTGACACTCAAGTTGGCTGGGGCCTGGACTGGGCAGGACTTGGGGTCAAGGTTCACTTTGGTGAGTACCTAAGAAACAAACCTCATGTCACCTGACATGGAGAGGCCAAACTGGTCCCACAGATCAAAGGGCTGCAAGTGCCCCAGGCTGGCCTCTGAAGACACCCACCTGTCCCCATCTGCCTTTTCCCCTGCATCTGCAGCCACAGTTCTGACCCAGTCCCTTCTTAAACCTGTCAGGCACTGTTGCTGCCTCCACCTCCCTCGGGTCCCTACCCCTTGCTGGGCAGGCACCAGCTTTCAAAAGTCTGGGAATGAATGGAGAAAGAGGTTCAAAAAGATGTTTCAGAACCTCCAAGGTAGAGGGTAGGCACAGGGCATGCTTTTGAGGACAGGACTTTGTGTTGAGGCTCTGATTCATTTTGGAGAAGCCAAGCCCTGGAAGGAGGCCAGAGCAGGATGGAGGATGAACTACATCTCCATGACTCAGGGGAAAAGCATTCTAGGATTCTATGTGTTCCTGGTTGCCTCCACCCGCCAAAGAAGCACCTGAGGGCAGAGGCATGGGATGGGTGGATGTGGATGCATGCTTTGGGTTTGGTATCTGGCCACCTAGTCTCTTCCATTCATTCACGTATTTACAGTGAGCCAACAATCTGCCAGGTGCTTGTTTTAGGAGTTGTGGATCTATCTGCTGGCTGGCCGAGGCAGGACCAGCCCAACTCCATTTGGAGTTGCCAGCAGGGCTCAGAAGACACATAGGAGGAGGAGGCAGCTGGGGAGTGGCGTAGGGAAATACGGCTAGAGCCATCATTTCACTATAACCCAGCTTAGGCCTCCCCACTGGTTCCAAAACCAAGACATGCCTATCAGCAAAGAGTCACCTCCACTGCCATCTAGCTCTTTGTACAGATCAGCAAAAAGCCAATTCAATCTGGGTCAGCCCTTCCACAAAGCAATTCTGAGGTCCACTCCAAAACGCACATCTCCGAACCTGGTCCAGGTGAGGGAACCTCTGTAAATTCCTCTCTGCAGCCTGGCCTGACCAGGTACCACCTGGGTGTCATAGGAGCCCAGCCTTTTTGTCTGCTTCCACCCTGGAGCTTCCCAACCAGCACCGACCGACATGCACAATGAAAGCACCCACTTGGTACAGGTGGCAGGGCCGGCAGGAGCTTCAGGCACTCCACAGCATTTCCCTGGGCTTCCCAAGTGTCCCAGGGCTGCACGGAATTGATGGACTTCTCATTCCCCACTCTCGGCCGCTGTGTCTGGGTAGAGAGAGCTCCCTCTCCAGCAACCAGCTTGCCTCCCTTACATTTGGAGTGCCAGCAATGGGAGGATGGGAAGAAACTCAGGTGGCTCTGGGTTCCTGGATGAGGCCTAGCCTCCCTCCTCTCTCCCTACCCCCCACCATTCTCAACATGAGAAAGGTTTTGCAAGGAACAGTGAAAGCCTCAGAGACATACTGCTGCCTTGGTGTTGCCATGGAAACAGCAACAGTTTCTAAGACAAAGCCCTTCCTTCTGCCTCCTGGGGAACCTGGTCTTTCTGCAATGCTGATCCTAAGAGATGCTTAGTGAAAACTGGGCGTTTTCAGCATCTTCACTCTTAAGGCCCTTCTACCACCAAGGAGTGGGATGGAAGGATCCTCACTGTGGCATTTCCTGTCCCAAGTCAGGGAGGAGGTCAGAAAACACTGGTTCAGGAGCAGAATGAGCAGCCCATGTTCAAGTTACAAGTCTACCATCTAGGGGCACCTGGATGGTTCAGTCAGTTAAGTGTCCGACTCTTGATCTCAGCTCAGGTCTTGATCTCAGGGTCATGAGTTCAAGCCCTGTGTTGGGCTCCATGCTAGCCATGGAACCTACTTAAAAAAACAAAACAAAAAACAAGTCTACCATCTAGTCCCTGTTCACCTCCAGGCTCATAGTTCTGTGTCTTTGAAATGAATGCCCCCCTAACCCCTCTCCTTTCCTCAAGGCTGTACTCAGATGTCTGTTAAATGAATTTGTCCCCACATAATCTAAACCTTATGAAATAAAGGTAAGGGACAGCAGCCCAGAGCAAGCACTGAGCAATTCCTTTTCCTGCCCAGGACCTCTGTCTTCTGTGAGTCTGCCAGAAGGAATCATCTGTGGCTATTTATCAAGACACTAGTGTAGGGCCCTCACTCTTGGCCCAGCACTGAGGGGATCAGGCAGGTGGAAGGACCTCTGGGGGGAGTTTTCACCAGAAAAGAGCCAGGACTCTACTCTCAGCTCTTTTAGGAGGAGTTCAGAGCTAGAAACTGAGTGCTGGTCTCAAGCAGGGCATAGAATGGGAATTCTGCCTCCCCATCTACCCAACAAACAAGAGAGAGACCTGAGCCTTTACAGAAGGTTCTGGCATCAGAGACTCACAGCAGCGGACAACTCCTCCACTGGCCGACAAGGCTAAGGAGGCCAGTCCTTCCTTCTGGAGGCCTGTGCTGGGCCCATCCTTGGGCTCCCCGGGGCTCACCTCATGATGAAGTTGTGCCCATCCACATCTGGACCGTAGCCAGAGCCCCGCAGGTTGCCTGAGTTCCCCACCACTGCACAGCGCCGGCACTGGTGGGGGTCCCGGAAACGGTATGGGTTCTCGCCTGGTACTATCTGGAACAGCTTCTCCAGCACCTCATTGGTGTTGTGTGACTTGAACTGGGGCTGCAGCATCTGTGGAAACGAGGGGAGAAGGAAGGAGCAGGGATTATGCGAGCCAGGAGGGATTCTGGCCTGCCTGCCTGCCCTCACCCTCCAGTCTCAGTCAGGGAGAGAAATTCTCTCTCAGCAGCAAGGATGTTCCCCTTCTCCAGCAACAGCAGTATCGCTTTCTGAGACTGGTGCCCTGCTCATCAGGGGCGCTCTAATGCACTGGAGGGGGCTCCGGGGCCAAGGGGTACTGCAAAGCAGAGAAAATTCTTGGGCTTGTCATGCCCCCCTGCTTTTCAGTTCTCTCAGCGAAGCTATGAGTCCCATGAAGAGTCATTCTGAGGTGCGGTTAATGTGGAAAACCCTGAGAAGTTCAGGGGCTCATTCCTAACCAGCCTACAGAGGGCGCCCCTGGGACTTAGCCGGAGGCCTCAGGGTTTCAAAAGGGACAGCTGAGGCAATATCCACAGGATAACCGGAGCCACCCCCTGAGCCCTGGGGAGAAGGAGGGAAGGCAGCAACGATGTATAGGAATTCTTTCAAAGTCAGAATGGCTGGAATGAAACTCGTTCCCTGTGCTTCCCACCACCAGTGACCTCGAAAGACTATGACATGAGGCTGGGGCAGCCTACGCATGAGGCAAGCAAAGATCAGAGTGAGGCGGCAGATGGGGCCCATGGTAAACAGGAGGTCCCAGCAAAAATGAGAGCCATCAGCCAACTGTTGCCACGTGGTATTGTGAGCCCAAAAGGACCAAATTTTCCAGGTTTTTTTGAGAAGCTGAAAATATAGATTTCACGTGAAATATCCCGATTCTTAAATGTTGGTAATGAATGCAAGTATTTTAAAGATTTTATTTATTTATTTGAGAGAGAGAGAATGAGAGAGAGCACATGAGAGGGGGGAGGGTCAGAGGGAGAAGCAGACTCCCTGCCGAGCAGGGAGCCCCATGCGGGACTCGATCCAGGGACTCTAGGATCATGACCTGAGCCGAAGGCAGTCGCTTAACCAACTGAGCCACCCAGGCGCCCGAATGCAAATATTTTAAAAATATTGAGCAGAACAGGGGTGCCTGGGTGGCTGAGTAGGTTGAACGGCCGACCTGATTTCAGCTCAGGTCATGATTTCAGGGCCCTGGGATCGAGCCCCATGTTGGGTTCTGTGCTAGACTTAGAGTCTACCCCAGATTCTCTCTCTTCTTCTCCCTCTTCCCTTCCCCCTGCTCATGTGCACTCTCTCTCTAAATAAATGGAATCTTTTTAAAAAAATTTTTAAAGGGCGCCTGGGTGGCTCAGTTGGTTAAGCGACTGCCTTCAGCTCAGGTCATGATCCTGGAGTCCCGGGATCGAGTCCCACATCAGGCTCCCTGCTCAGCAGGGAGTCTGCTTCTCCCTCTGACCCTCCTCCCTCTCATGCTCTCTGTCTCTCATTGTCTCTCTCGCAAATAAATAAAATCTTAAAAAAAAAAAAAAAATTTTAAATTGAACAGACTGGACTTGGCCCAGAGGCCACAAATCAGTAAGGTAGAAACTAGGGCTTTAATATGCTCTGTGGGGGGTGCCTGAGTGGCTCAGTTAAGAATCTGGCTCTTGGTTTCCACTCAGGTCATGATCTCAGGGTTGTGAGATTGAGCCCCACTGGGGCTCTGCGCTGGGCATGGAGCCTGCTTAAGATTCAGTCTCCCTCTGCCCCTCCCCCACACTCTCTTAAAAGAAAATGTTCTGTGGTCTGAGCCCTAACATGGGGGTTATGACTGAGCAGCAGCGGCTCAGGGGACAGAATAAATGAAAGAGACGGGGTAGGCATGCTTCTCTGCCTCTTCTCTGAGCAAAGGAAAAGCTCCTAAGAACAGGAACACAAACTGAGTGTGGAAGGAAAGCTTGGCTCTGAGACAAGAATTTCTAAGTTCGGGGCGCCTGGGTGGCTCAGTCAGTTAAGCGTCTGCTTTCGGCTCAGGTCATGATCCCAGGGTCCTGGGATCGAGCCCCGCATGGGGCTCCCTGCTCAGTGGAGAGCCTGCTTCTCCCTCTCCCTCTGCCTGCCCCTCTGCCTACTTGTGCTCTCTATCTCTCTGTCAAATAAATAAATAAAATCTTTAAAAAAAAAAAAAGAATTTCTAAGTTCATGGCAAAAGGGGGTGACTGTGGGGAGCAGGAGAGAAGTGGCTTCTGCTGTGTCTTGGCCAAGGGACATGCTTGGTGCTTAAACTGCCCTGAGTTCTATTCCTAAGGGAAGAAGGAGGCTTGGCCTATCCATGGGTCGGTCTCTGCCTAGAGTCCTGTTCTGGCTCTAGATGGCCACCACAGAGACCTATGACCTTCGGCAAGCCCTGTGCACTATCTGAACCTTGATTTTCCCCACAAAATGAAGGCTGTGACTATGATTAACAGGCAGAACCCTTCAAGGGCTCCAGGCTGTCACAGGATTGGCCTGTGGGGCTCCTGGTGACCCTTGCTCTGTAGACCTCCCCATTCTTAGGGACTAGGACAGTGTGGTTCAGGAAGCGGGATCTCTAAGTTGTCTGGTAAGCCTGATCGCGTGAGCTCATCCTTACTGCTTCCCTGAATGTGAGAAAAAGGGGGACTCGTCATCCTCCCCACTTGCCAGCTGGGGAAACCAGGAGCCATGAGTTGCCTCCCAAGTCCCCCAGTGGGGAATGCAGGCAGCCTATGGGCCCCTGGGCTAAGTACTGACACTGTGTGGCAACCGGATGGCCCTGGTAGAGCTTGGGGAGTGACACTCCAGAGATGACAGGGATGAAAGGGAATTAAAAGCAGCAGAAAGGTGACAGGATCCAGAAGAGGGGGGAGGCTTGGACAAACCTGTCTCGTCATCCCCTCCCCTTCATCTCCCTTATCACCCAGAGGAACTGACCATGTTTTCTTATCTCCAGCCCAGAAGAAAGTCTTTGCCAGCAATTGTAAAAAACCAAGTGAGTGGTCCTCATGGTGTTTAAAATTATTGTGAGCCAACATTTACAAATTAGATTAGCAAAAAAAACCCACAACAACGTAGACTTCCGGGTTCTCTTAAAGGGTCAGAAGATGCAGCAGTGATGGGTCACATCCCTGCAAGGGCAGCAGCTGCCAGAACTAAGAGGGGCTGCCTCCTTTATAAAGGGCAGACCCTCTCCCTGCAACGGTCCTGACCTCTCACCATCTTCCTCCTTGGGGCCTGTTTCTCCTATGTGACCTCCCTGGCCAACTAGGCATTTCTGGCCTCTGCTTGGCCCCTTACAGGCACTAGAAAATAGTTCTCCCTCCTTCCAGGCCAAAGCTTGCTCTGCCTTTCAGAATCTGTGTCCCTAGTAGATGGCTCTGGTCAAATGGACCTAATACTTTGTCAAGGCTCTGGGGGCCTGAAGACAGGCAGTCCAAATCCTGGGGCGGGGTGGGGTGGGGGTGGGGGGCTTGAAGAGTGACTCCCAGACAGGGGGACAGACCCCTGGAGAGGGGGCAGCAAAGGGGAGGCAGGAGGGGCTGGAGCTCTCTCTCACCATCCACCACCTCTGGACATCTGGAGGCAGATCCATGTTCTCTCGGGTCCACACGGGGGAAATGTTGCTGTTGAAGTGGCTATCAAACCAGTCGGAGGCGCCAGCGTCACCCATGCAGCGGCGACAGGCACAGCTCTTGCCGGTGAGCCCCTCCTTGCTGAGGCGCTGCAGGCCAGCATAGCCAGGCACCAGCTTCACCCGGTGGGTCCCGCCCAGGGCCCCGGAGTCCAGGTAGGGCAAGGTGGCCATGCTGTGGTGGGAGTAGGTGAAGAGCAGTGACATGATGAACACCAGCAGGAAGGCCACGGAGAGGAACCACACCCGCAGGGAGCACTTCATGGTTTGGCGCCCCGAGGGGGCTAGACCACCAGCCTGGCGGGCGGGTGGGTGTCACCGTGGCCACTCCTTTCCCAGCCCACGGACGGGCCAGCCACAGCGCAGCCTGCTTCTTCTGGCACCACGTGCAAAGGGCATAGGGACACGTGCTGAGGAGGGGACAGAGGCAGGGGTCCCTTACCACACCCTCCCTCAACGTAAGGAGGAAGCACAGTAGGCTGCAGTGGCTCCCCTGTCCCTGAGCCACTCGGGTGCCGGCTTATGGCTTCATCGGGTCTCTCTGTCACTAGCTGGGCCACAGAGGCTCTGACTCTCCCACTGCCCTGGCGAGGGGGAGGTCAGTCCATCCCAGCCCTCTAGTCCCTTGGGGTTGCTGGCTGCCAGCTCTGGGGGCCCCCCTCTTTGGCGGCTCGAAATGGTCCAGTCTGGAGCATTCGGGGTCCTTGTGGTTCATGAGCAGACACGGAGGCGGCCCCTCGTCCCCTGCAGTGGGGAAGCCCTCGAACCCCAATCACAGCAGAGAGCACATGGGCTTCAAGTGGCCTGGATTCCATCCGAGAGTCGTCCCCACCTCGGTTGGCCCTCCTGGTCCAACCCCTCCACCAGAGGAGGGAACAAGGCCCCAGTCCTGAGAGAAGAGACCCAAGAAGCTCTGTGGGTGTCCGAAAACTCTGCTGCAGAGACCAAGATCCTCCCTGCACTAGGTTCTGCCCTTCCGCTTCCCATTCGAGGTGCTGGTCCCTTCTCCCGATGGTCACAGCCCCAAATGTGGTTGCAGGGGGGTTCGCAGAGCTCTGGCTCCTGCTGTGAGGTCCTCTGGGGCCTGGGCACAGCGGCTGCTCAGCAGGGACCTGCTTCGAATGCCATCTGGGTCAGCTGAGCATGTGCCGAGCTCCCTGTCAGGGCCCAGCCGTCCTTGGTGCCACTGGCCCAGCCTCGCAGGCAGGCTGCTCTGCCCATCCCCACTCCCCTGAGGCCTGCTGTCCTCCTGCTGGTAGCTCGTGCTCGCAGTAATCCCCTGGCAGGTTCCCCCTCACTCGTCAGGCGCCAGGCTGCCACAGCATGACCCTGGAATTGCAGAGAGGAAAAGTAATGTGCAGATAAAGTGCACACACACACACACACACATTCTCCCCCCAAGTCCCGCCCCCAAGTCCCAGAGGGGACAAAGCTAGGAGTAGAGGAGACGCCCACTTAACCAAAGGGTGGACGAAAGAAAGGGCTTTCCCCTCTACCCACTCACAGATGGCTCTCAGGGACTGCAGAGGAAGAGATTAGCTCGCTCTCTCACTTATTAGCCAGAAGGTAAACAAGGACATAAAGTGATTTCCCTGGAGTCCATGGCGACTCACTGGAAGAACCAGGTTTAGAAAGTTCCTTGTCCATCTTTGTGAGGTTAATTTCAGGTGAAACTGAAGAGAAAATGGCCCAGAGGAAAGATTACAGGAGATTGCATATATGACTCCCCACCTTGGTGCTCTCTACCCTCTGAGTACCTGTGACAAGCTCCTCTGAGCAAGAGACAGGTCGGTGGGGCAGGGCCGGACCTCTGCCCTGGGATTTGCCCCCTCCTCTCCTGGGTGTGGGCTCTAGATGAGGCATTAGCTCAGTGAACCATTAACAATCCTTCCAACTCTGGTATCAGGGAGAGAACCTGACTGCGTCAGGATGCAGAGGTGCTGGGCTCAGCGCCCCTATCATACAGCCGTCTGGGCAGTTGCCTTCATCTGTATGTTATGGATGAGATGAATGCCAGGGTCTCTGGGGGCACAGACAATCTGAGGCCTTGTGCTGTCCTAGCGAGCAAGAGCAGGGAGAAAAGGCTGGTAGTTTGGGGATGGGCCCTGAGAAAAGGAGTCTGAATCCATTCCATGTACAAGGGAGTCTGGGCAAGAGTCAGGGACAAGGCTGAGAGTGGAGGCCCTGGGCCCTGGCTCCATGCCACAGGGATCACTTAAATCTGGGCTGCCTGCCTGTCCCCACTAGCTCTTCTCCAAACCTGGCTAGCCCCAGTTCTGACCTGGCCCCAAGGCCTCACAGCTCCTTGCAGAAAGCCCCAGCTCCAGCCAGCCCTGCCAGGGTCCTCTGGCTGCTGCCGGCAGCTTCAGAGAAGGCCTCTCAGACTCTGTGTTCAAGAACCTCAGCTGCCCCCTCCACTCGTGGCAGCTCAAATTTCTGGAGCCAAGCCAAACCATAAAGCCACCAGGGAATGGAACTAGCACATTCCAATAACGAGAATATTGGTGTGTGTATGCATGGGCTTAACATGAATGATCAGAGCAGCTGCAAGGGAGAAATCAGAATCATGCCATGGGCAATTGGATGGCATGGGATTCCACTGGAGGAAGCAAGGTGCATGAAAGCACTTCACAAGGGTCAGCACTGGGTGACTTCTGGGATTTGGGGGTTCATGTCTAGGGGCCTCTGATGTTTCTTAGTGGGGAACCAACGCTCACAGAAGTAGAGGAACTTGCCTAAGGTCACAGTCTTGTGAGTAGAGGTGAGATCTGTGTCCATGTCTATCTGGTTCCAAAGCTGTCACTGGCCAGGGCACAGAAAAGGGCCCGTGAGTTCTTTCAATGACCAAAGGGCTCTGGGACGAGTGACAAGGAGACACGGAAGCTGGTTCCCAGGGCCAAGAGTGAAGCTTCCCTCACATGTCTCACCCGGGTACCTGGCTCTAATTCCCAGGGGCTCCAGCAGCACCTGCTCCAAGGTGCTTTACTTCGGATGTTTTACTGCACCCATTTGGAAGGCCAGACTCCATGCATGGCCTTTGTCTGATCGTCTGTAAAGAGGAAGCCAGGTCACTGTCTCTTCCCATTCTCCCTTTGCCCCTTTCCACACCCAGCATCTAAGGAAAAGAACTTGGTTTACAGGTCCTATGACCTGGGGAGAGCCAACCACAAGGCAAATGGCCCAAGAAAGCAGTGACTTTCCGAGGGGCCTCTCCACGGAGACCTGGTTTCTGGTGGGCAGCCTACGGTGGCCTCTGAAGGTGGGGGCTGGGCAGAAGCTGGCGCAGGAACCTCCAAAGGAATGTCTCCCCCACTGGGGAAGTCAGTAACTCCTGGGATTCTAACTCAGTGAAGGGGGCACCTGAGATAACCAGCTGCTTCGTGGGGGAGAGGAAAAGCCCTCGTTTTGTCAATGTGTTTGGGAAAAGCAAGGAAGTGGAGTAACCAGCAAAAGCCCTTGCTTTGCGAACCCCATGGCCAAGCTGTTCCCTGGAATGTGAATGGCTCAACATGTGTTGAGGGTAGAGACATGGGGAGGAAATGTTGCTGAGACTAAGAAACATCAGAGGCCCCTAGACATGAACCCCCAAATCCCAGAAGTCACCCAGGGCTGACCCTTGTGAAGTGCTTTCATGCACCTTGCTTCCTCCAGTGGAATCCCATGCCGTCCAATTGCCCATGGCATGATTCTGATTTCTCCCTTGCAGCTGCTCTGATCATTCATGTTAAGCCCATGCATACACACACCAATATAAAAAAGCTGGAGGGAGGACACACACTCTGGTACCCACAAAGGGAAGCAGGCCAGTCTTCTGGGCCCATCTGGCTGCTGGGGACTTGTTTGTGCATTCCACTGATACTTTAATGGGCCAGTGCTGGGCCACAGGGACAGTGTGGGACAGAACACACCCATCCTGTCCTCACTGAGCTTCTGGTCTAGGTACAAATACAAAGGGAAATTACAGGGAGGCACGAAAAAAAACAAAGAGGGCAAAGAGAATGAGAAGGAAACAAGTCTGACCTGTTAAAACAGAGAAGAGGCCCATGAAGCAGGAGAGGGTGGCAAGCGTGGCAGAGGGGAAGGCGCAGAGGGCTGAGGGCCAGCCACAGGGGTCTTTGAAGGGATTAGGATTCATTATGAATCTGACAGCAGAGTTTTGAAGAGGGCTGTGTCATGATCTGATTTACATTTTAAAGTAGGCTCTTGGAGGAATTTTTTTAAAAATTTTAATTCCAGTATAGTCAACATAGTATTGTATTAGTTTCAGGTGTACAAAATAGTGATTCAACAATTCTCTACATCACCCCGTGTTCATCAGGACAAGTGCACTCCTTAATCCCCATGACCTGTTTCACCCACCTCCCCTCTGGTAACCATCTGTTTGTTCTCTATAGCTAAGAGTCTGTCTTTGGTTTGTCTCTCCTTTTTTCCTTTGCTCGTTTGTTTTTTAAATTCCACATATGAGTGAGAGCATATGGTATTTGTCTTCTCTGACTGACTTATTTCACTTAGTATTATACTTTCCAGCTGCATCCATGTCGTTGCAAATGGTAAGACTGCATTCTTTTCTATGGGTGAATAATATTCCACTGTATATACACACCACATCTTTTTTATCCATTCATCGATCAGTGGACACTTGGGCTGCTTCCATAATTTGACTATTGTAAATAATACTGCAATAAACATAGGGATGCATGTATCCCTTTGAATTAGTGTTTTTATATTCTTCGGGTAAACACGTAGTAATGTGATTGCTGGATCATAGGGTAGTTCTATTTTTAATTTTTTGAGGAATCTTCATACTGTTTCCCACAGTGGCTGCACCAGTTTGCATTCCCATCAACAGTGCACAAGGGGTCCTTTTTCCCCACATCCTCGCTAACACTTGTTGTTTCTTGTGTTTTGGGTTGTAGCCATTCTGACAAGTGTGAAGTGGTATTTAATTGTGGTTCTGATTTACATTTCCCTGATGATGAGTGATGTTGATAATCTTTTCATGTGTCTGTTGGCCATCTGGATGTCTTCTTTGGAGAAATGTCTGTTCATGTCTTCTGCCCATTATTTATTTTTTGGGTTTCGAATTGTGTAAGTTCATTATATATTTTGGATACTAACCCTTTATTGGATATGTTATTTGCAAATATCTTCTCCTATTCTTCAGGTTGCCTCTTAGTTTTGTTGATTGTTAACTTTGTTGTGCCAAAGCTTTTTATTTTGATGTAGTCCCTCCCAGTAGTTTATTTTTGCTTTTATTTCCCTTGCCTCAGGAGACATATCTAGAAAAATGTTGCTATGGCCAATGTCATAGATATTAGTGCCCGATCTCTCTTCTAGGATTTTTATGGGAAAATTAAAAACAAAAACAAAACAAACAGTACCAAGAGCTGGGAAAGGATATGGAGTATTAAGAACACTTGCACAGGGCACCTGGGTGGCTCAGTTGGTTAAGCATCTGCCTTTGGCTCAGGTCATAATCCCAGGGCCCTGGGACTGAGCCCTACATTGGGCTCCTCGTTCAACAGGGAGTCTGCTTGTCCCTCTGCCCCTCCCCTCCACTGTGCTAATAAATAAATAAAATCTTTTGAAAAAAAAAGAACACTAACACACCACTGTTGGGACAATAAATTGGTACAATGCTTTGGAAGATAATTTGGCATTACTTAATAAAGACAGACATAGGGCGCCTGGGTGGCTCAGTTGGTTAAGCGACTGCCTTCGGCTCAGGTCATGATCCTGGAGTCCCTGGATCAAGTCCCGCATCGGGCTCCCTGCTCAGCGGGGAGTCTGCTTCTCCCTCTGACCCTCCCCCCCTCATGTGCTCTCTCTCTCAAATAAATAAATAAAATCTTAAAAAAATAAATAAAGACAGACATAAGTATATCCCAGTGGTGTTTTATGTTTTTTTATTTTTTATTTTTTTTTTTAAAGATTTTATTTATTTATTTGAGACAGAGAGAATGAGAGAGACAGAGAGCACATGAGAGGGGGGAGGGTCAGAGGGAGAAGCAGGCTCCCTGCCGAGCAGGGAGCCCCATGCGGGACTTGATCCCGGGACTCCAGGATCATGACCTGAGCCGAAGGCAGTCGCTTAACCAACTGAGCCATCCAGGCGCCCCGTTTTATGGTTTTTTAAAAGAAAAATTAAAAACCATCTTTCTCACAGAAAACATGGTGTGGGAACGGAATGTGAGACTAGAAAGTTCCCCCAGCTGTCCTGGGCTAATTTACCTTATGACTTCCTTTGTGTGGACATCTTCAGAGATTAATCTCTGAAGATATTAATCCTCCTCAGGTTTGGGTGGGAATGAATGGTTTCTCTCTCAAAG